TTTTTTTTCTCTCTTTCTCTCTCTCTCTGTTTTTTAAAATTTAATTAACAAAAACTTCATAATTTTAAAAGTTTGGGGAAGAGAAACAAAAAAAAAAAAAAAAAAAATTCCCGTTTAAATTCGTTACGATTTGGACAATTTTTTTTTCTGATTCGTTTTTCGAACGAAATTTTAAATGTTTTATTTAATTTTTTTGAGAATGGGTTGTTTGAATTGAATGCGGTTAGAGATTTTTAAAAAAAATTTTTACGATTTAAAAAATTTTAATCGTTGAAATAAAATTTATAACAAACAAACAACGACAGACAACTTAATTTCCAACCTTTTAACTAACAGTCTTTAATTAATTGATTTACGCTAACACGTTTTTTCTATTATTATTATTATTAATACTAAAAAAATAATTTGGGATTTAAAACTTTATTAAAAAAAAAAATTTTTGTTCATAAACTTTATACAAAATACTTGAATAACACGACAACAACAACAACAACAACCACAACAACTTTCGATGAAAATTTTTTAAAAAATATTTGTTTTTATAAGTCTATAGAGAGTTATATTATTTTTGAAAAAAACAGTTTAAGAATATAAGAAAATTATTACCCTTCACCGAATTCAATAAAATGATCCCTGAATGAAAAATTGTTTTCCATCACTACAAATTATTTTAAATATTTAATTCCACAGTACCTTGTCATGTGATTAATCGTTTCTAATTAATTTGAGCAATTTCAGGTTCGGTTCGATTTACAATTTTGATGCATTTTTACTCGCCAATTTGTTTAAAATTTTAAACACATCATCGTAATGAGGTTGTAGATCATTTTGAACTCTTTTCATCCATGCTGCTATTCTCGGTCTTCCAGCAGTTACATCATAATTTGAAATTCCTGATGGTTAAAATGAAAAAATGTTTGATTCGTGGGAATAATTTGTTTGGAAATATTAATTGTAGTTATGGTCAATTGTAGTTTTTGTAATAATATTTAACTTACTGGGTTGTTCGATTTCAGATATTCCAACAAGGTCTGCAACGCTTATTTCATTGCCGACTAAATATTGACTATCTTTCAACCAAACATTTTCAATATCGTTTAATGAATCTTCCATTTGACTTTTGTATTTTTGTAAACGATTGTCATCAAGTTTTTTCCCAGTTAACATTGGTTTCAAATACTAAAATAAAATAAAATTAAGTTAAAAATTAAAAACATTTAAACATTGTTAAACAAAACAAAATTTCCAAATAATTACTGTGTTCAGAAAAAACAATGAAAGCGGTATTCTTTCCGACATGTGTTGCCACTCGAGAAATTCATCAACTCTAGCTTGTTTTTCAATATCCTTTGGATACCAATGATCATCTACATTATACTTTCTGGCAAGGTACCTTATGATGGCTATACTTTCAATCATTTTAAAACCATTGTCATCGATTGCAGGGATTTTTCCAAAAGGATGAACATTGTCAATATATTCTTGAGTTTTGTGCTCACCTAAAACATTAAATATAACTTCAGTAATAATTTTTGCATGAATTAATTAATTGACACTTGTCACTTCAACTGATACTTTTTAAAATAATTCATAATAATTGTTTTATTAAAATTTTTTTTTTTAATATTACTTTTAACATCACCTCTAATATATATTCCATAAAAGTAATTTAATATGTATGTAAAAAAAACAAAAAGTTGCTTGAGTATAAGATGAAATAGAATTTAGTGATGCACTCATTTAAATTTCAATAACTTACCTTTCATTATAGAAACAATTTTCAATTCGTGAGGAATATTTGCTTTTTTAACAAAAAGAGCCAAAGCTCTTGCCGGTTGTGACAATAAATCAACGTAAAGTTTTAAAACCATTTTATAATCAGGATACAAAAGACGAGATGTGACAATTTCGAACTTTAACCCTGCGTCGTGTGTTGAGAAAAGTTCGTGTTAAAAGAATTGTTTTAAATTGGCAACACTGTTTATTGCGATTTCGCTATTTCCACGATTAAAACTGTTAATCTTTGTTTGATAAAGCAAACATTTGTTTACAATTTGTGTTTGTAAACAAAGAAAAAAAATTTTTTTTTAAATAAATAAAAATTTATTTATTAATAAATATCAGTCGCATAATTATTAATAAATAAATAAGATAAATATCAATAACAATTTAACATATGAAAAAAAAAAAAAAACAAAAACAAAATTTTAATTCGATTGAAAAAAAAAAAGAAATATATATAAGAAAATCGAGTACAAAGTGACGGTTAAAATTTTTCAAATTTTTTATAATTTATGAAAAAATTACGTAAGGGATGATGACGATGATGATGACTTTACATAAAAAGTTAAATTTTCGTTCATTTACAAAAAAATTATTATTATCTTTTTTAAGTGGGTCAAACATTTTTTTTTTATTTTCGAAAAAAAAAAATTTCTTTTTCTTTACAATCCCAAATGAAGTAATGTAATTATTACAACAACAAGGACGACTCTGATCAACTTTTTGTTTTTTATTGTAAAATGCCTAAGAAAAAAAAAAAGAAAAAAAGTATAATCAGGTCATTTTCAATTTATTTTTTTTTTTTAATTCAATAACTGGATCAATAAATAAATAAATTTCGCAACTTTCATCCCGCCCCCCTCCCCCGCCCCTCACCATTGAAACCATGTAATCATTTTCAATCATGGAAACCAGTAGAAAAAAAAAAAAATTATTTAACGGTAGAAAAAAAAAAAGAAAAATTTAAAATAAGATTTAAATAGCCAAGAGGCTTATTAATTAATCGGAAATAAATTTTTCTTTTTTTCTTAAATTTCAAGGTTTAGATAAATAATTTAAAAAAAAAAAAATTCTGGAGAGTGAATCTTATATCATGGTAAACATTAAAATAACCTTTTGGAAATTTATTTATTTTCAGGTCAAGGATTTTAACCTTTCCATGTACCTCTTTTCGAATTGAATTCTATGATGAATTTTATACGATAGGTTGTAAAAAAAAAAATAATAATAAATAATTTATTTTTCATTGTTTTATTATAATATTAATAATAATGAGGATTTAAACAATAAGTGGTGGTGATAATAATAAAAAAAAACTGGTTTAGAGAATGTAAAGTACCAGATGTTATATACTAATAAAAATTATTATTATTATTATTGTTTTAATTTAAATCAAAACAAAATGGGAAAAGCTAAAAAGAAAATTGTTGTTGTTTGTTTTGAACTGGAAAACAATTTTTATTTTGGAAACTTTAACAAAATAATTATTTATAAAAAAAAAAAAAAAAAGTTTTAAGGAGGTTAAACGAAATGTTAATAAAAAAAAATAAAAAAAACCAAGAGAAAGTTGAATGAATGAGTTTTGTTTTTTTCCTCTCTCTTCTTCTCCTTCTTCTTCTTCTTCTTTTCAATATTTATTAAAAGAAAAGAAAAGAAAAAGATTATAATATTTAATAAATAAATAAATAAAAATTTGATTCGAATCGTTACGAAAACAATTTATTCAGTTAAAAAATTTATTACCGTTAAAACGTAAAAAAAAGAAAATGGAGGATTCGTGCTAAAAAAAAATCTATTAAAAATAAATGTGAAATTTAATAAATAAATAAATAATAAAAACGAGATCGATTTCGTGGTTACGGTTAAGAAAAAAAAAAAAATTTACTTTTACTTTCGAAAAAAAAAAAAAATTAAGTAGGCGCAATAAAAAGAGAGAAACAGAAAGTGAAATCGAAATTTATCTTTTCCGTTAGTTGATTACGACTCTTTGCAATAAGCCTGTATGCCATGTGCTCAACCAGCCAACCAGCCAGCCTGCCAGCCTGCCAGCCAGTCAGTCAGTTAGCCAGCCAGCCTACCAACTCGGTGGTAATAATAATAACAATCAGTCGGTAATAATTCGCGGTCCTGAAAAAATGTTTTCTTATTATTAAGACATGATCGTGAGAAAATCTTTGGAAAAAGCTTGGTTTTCACTTTTGCTCATCGGTTTTATATTCATCGGAGTTTTTAGAATTTTCGAAGATCCGGAAAAAAAATTTATAAGGGAAAATGGATTTACGGGGAAAACGACGGAAACGACGCCATCTTTTTCGTACACGAAAGAATACTACAGAGTGACAAAACCGTTAAATTTAGCAAGGAACGGTACGGGATTTAGCGATCACGTGTTGTTTTTTAACAGAGTGCCAAAATCCGGAAGTGAAATGTTGGTACTACTGCTGCAGTGGCTTCAAGGACCGAACGGTTTCAGACACGTTAGATTACCCGGAAGTGAAAAAAGGAGTTTGTCCGTTTTTGAACAGGTAATTTGTTTCCTCTTTTTTTTTTCTTTTTATTTTGTGTAAATTTTATAAAAATTTTATAAAAAGAACTTAAAGTTTATCATTATCAAGTTTAAATTTTGTTGTCGCCACCTTGAAAATTTTTTTTTAAAAAATTATTTAAAAGTGTGGAACTGGATAATAAATTAAAATATCCTGTTTTTATATTTAAAAAAAAAAACCATTTTTAAATTTTTTTTTGCGTTTGTTTAATAATAACAATTATATTATTATTATTATTACGTTGAATTTTGCAAATGCGACAAGTTTTTACGAATACTCGTCGGAAAATTTTTAATGTCATCTTTGGGGGTAAGATTTAGACGGAAACGATTCGAATTCTTGCGAAAAAAAAAATTTTCTTCCCGTCTATATAATAAATAGTTCAGAATTTTCTTCTTCTGTACGATTTCGTACCAATTTAAGGGGGGGGGGTTTCAAATCACATCTTCAAGTTATCGAATTAAAAATTGTCACATGATTTTAAAGTGGATCTTATTATTTATATTATTATTATTTCCATAACAACTTCCCACGTGGATATCGATTTAAATAAAAATGTTTTTGTATTTTTTTTTTTTTCTCCTCGATCCTGTTTGTTTGTTTTTAACCTCTGACATTATCATTTAAATAATTTTTTATCTACTATCACTATGGGTTGGGTATCTGTTCATCACCGATAGTTCTGCCATTTTTTTTTCCACGTCATATCACGTGACAATTTTTCCAATATATTTATAAAAATTTTTGGGGTGGGATGTTTCATATTACGAAACGATTTTTTTTTTATTTCCGACCGATAACAATTAAATTTTTTTTATTTCTTGGGGGGAAGAGAGACAATAAGGGAGGAAAGAGGGGGGAAAGAAAGTTTAAAAAAAGGGGCTTAAGAAAAAAAAAAAAAAAAAAAGAAAAAACTTTCGTTAAATTCGTTTTTTTTTTTTAACACCACCACGGTCAAGGTAATTTATATTAGTTTTTTTTTTCTATTAAAAAATAATAATAATAATAATAAAGAAAATTAATCGGTTTTTCTTTTTCTTCACATTTAAAAGTTAAGGGTAATTTTTTTTTTTTTTTTTTTACGAACAAGGTAAACAAGGGGTTTTGTTTTTTTTTCACGTAATTTTTTTTTTTAAAAAAAGGTTTTATTATTATTATTATTATTATTATTATTATTATAAATTTATTTTTATTTATTTATTTATTTGATGTTTAATAATAATTTACCAAAAAAAAAAAAGAAAAAAAGGTTAAACCCATTAATTTTATTAAGAAATATATTAAAAAAAAAGTTTAGCCCAGTTTTAAATTACATTTTGAAGGTTTTTTTTTTTTTTTAAAATAAATATTCCCACGATTTAAAATAAACTGGAAACGAAGAAGAAAAAAAAAAGTTTTTTTAAAAATTAAATTATAATTATATGCAAGATGTTGTTTTTTTTTAAATGTAAAATTTTTTATAAATTTAATAATAATAATAATAATATTTTTGATTTAAAATTTAGATACACGATGACGTTTAAATAAATTTTTTTTTTTTTTATTAAATATTTATTTTTATTTAAATTCCTTTTAGTACCAAAACTTACCGGAAGATGACACTTTTGATTTTTTTTTTTATAATGTAAATTTTTCACTTTAAAATTGATGATATTATTATCAAAATTTATTTATTTATTTATTTCCATAATTTATTAAATTTTTTTTGCACGTACGTCTAGATAGTAGTAAAATTTTAAAAACATTTCACGTAAAAATTTTATTTTATTTTTATTCGATTTTATAAAAATTTATTATTAAATAATTAAAATTATAACGCTTTCACTAAATCAATAAAAAAAAAAAAATGCCGTGAGATATCCCACGGGTAAATTAAATACTGATTTCACTTAAATTATAGGATTTTAAAATTTAAATGTTTTCTCTTTTACAATAAAGAATACAAACAAACAAACAAATAATGAATTTAATAAAACTAAATGAAAAAAAAAACAAAAACTTCCTACGATTTTATCATACACGAATAAAAATGTTAATTTTTTTCAAATTCGTTATGAAAATATTCACTAATTTTTTAAATAACCAAAAGATGGCAGCTTATTTTTAACCTCGTTTCATCGTAGTTTCACACTTTCACTACAGATGGCATCGTATAATAATTTTAATATTTCATCTTGCGAGACTACCTCCTTAATATTATGTTTTTCGAATACAAATCATAATTTTTACAAATTAATGTTAAATCTGTAAATGAGATAAATTTTTCACCGATAGATGGCATGGTTGCGCTGCATTTTATTAAAGTTGGCTCTTCAATTGGTAGATGACGCTAGTCGTGCATTTATAAAAATTACATCTTTACTATTAACAAATCGTAATAGTTCAAGTTTTATATCATAGATGGCATTTGCGTTTACTTTTTTTTAAATAAAGTCTGAAGTATAATAAGAATTATTTTATTTTATTATTTTTTTTTAAAAAACGATTTTATTATATACGAATAATTAATTGTAGGAAGAACTTGTGGAACAGATAACAAATACGGAAAAAGCGGAAGCCGTACCTATTTCCTTTGACCGTCACGTTTACTTCATTAATTTTACAAAATTTGATAAACAATGGCCGATATATGTTAATTTAATACGAGATCCAGTCGAAAAAGCAATTTCGAGGTATGCGGCTTTAATTTATTTATTAAAACATTTAATTAATTATTATTATCATCATTAATAACATTAAAATTTTTACGTATAGATTTTATTATGCGAGAGTGACGCCGGATATTAAAAATCCAGACGTTCGATACGCTTTATCAAAAGGTTTGATTCCATCATCGAAATCTCCAGATAAAAAATTTGAAAATTTCGAAGATTGCGTCATGGCATCCGATCCTGAATGTAATTTTATCACCGGTAATAATTACGATTTGGCCATACCTTATTTTTGCGGACAAGAACCAAAATGTCGGTGGGTATACTATACCTTAAATATATTAATTTTTCTTTAAACTCTTATCATTTTAATTATCTTATAATTTTTCTTATCAGTATTTTAAATGACGAATGGGCTTTGAGAAAAGCCAAAGAAAACGTTGAAAATTATTTTCCAGTCGTTGGAATATTAGAAGAATTAAATATGACATTGGCAGTTCTGGAATCAAAACTTCCCATGTTTTTCAAAGGAGTTCAAAACGTTTATTTCAACGAATTACTCGGTAATTATTATTATTATTATTATTATTATTATTAATTAATAACAAAAAAACCCGCGATTGATGTCATTTATTTATTTATTTTTTTCAGAACCGCATAAAAATAAAAACAAATGGAAACCTAAACCGCCACCGTTCAATCAATTCGTTAGAAGTCATTTAAAAAATCAATTAAATTACGAATACGATTTTTATTATTGGATAAAATCAAGACTTAAAAAACAATACGAAAATATTATTATTATTAATAAAAAATTTAAACAAAAAAATTTTAATGTTTAAAAATAATTTTTATTCATTTTTTTTTGTAATTTATTTTTTTATTTTTTAATAAATTTATTTATTTTTATTTTTTTATTGATGAATTTAAAATAGCATTATTATTATTATTATTTATAACGAAACCTAGAGTACTCTAAGGTATCCCAGAGGGTACATACCAAGTATCAAATCGATTTCAGCATGGACAATACCTGACACGCACACACGCGCAAGGTTTTCTTCCACGACCAACCAATTAAAATCCAGCCAAACCGGATATGATTTCGAAAAATAATTTAAGTACCCGTTACCAAAATCAAATATGAAAATATTTAAAATTTTAAGAGTAAAACCGGAAACGGAAATCATTCTGATCGTCTTTGTTAAAAATTCGAAGCCATCAAATCAATCCGGAAATAGAAAAAAAATAATTTAAAGTAAAATAAACAAAATTATTAAAATAATTTTATTATTAGCGTATTATTTATTAGTATTATTATTATCATTGTTGTTTTCTTTTTCCTTCTGCTGAAACAATCGCAAAACAAAAACATTTTCTCGTTTTAACATTTCATTTTTGTTAGAAAGGACAAACCAAAAAAAAAGGGGAAAACTATTTTTTCTTAGCATCCTTCAATCCGGCTCCAGCATTAAATTTAAAAAATATAATGTCGCCATCTTCGACGACGTAGTTCCGACCCTGTTGCCTATATTTTCCAGCAGCTTTAACACCCGATTCCGAACCTTCTTCTTTGAAATCTTCAAATTTCATTACTTCCGCCATTATGAAACCTTTTTCGAAATCCGTGTGAATTTTACCAGCCGCTTGAGGGGCTTTCGTACCTTTCTGAAAATGATAATAATAAATTTTTTTTTTTTTTGGCCCTCTGTCAGGTCCTGGAAACTGGAAAAATTAAAAAACGAATCCGCGGCTGTGCGTGCGAGTTTTTTCGTTTCGTTTCATTTTTTTTTCTATGCGGAATGGTAGGCCGGTAGAATAGGTAGGTAGGTAGGTAGGTAGGTTGGACGGTAGGTTGAATGTTTATTCCACCTACGGGGCGGAGAAGGAGTTGAAATTTAAATAACTTTTTCATTCATTTGAATAATGTTGAGGTCACGCAATTTATTCTTCTCCAATCCCCTTTTAAGCCGTAAGAGAAGGAGTTGAAACATAATTATAATGTAAACCAACTCAATGTGAGAGAGAGAAAGAGAGAGAGAGAGAGAGAGAAAATGACGACGACTACGACTACAACAACCAAAACAACAACAACAACAAAAACTCTTTTAGTTTCAAAACAAAATAAAAGTAAATTATGAAATTTATTATTATTATTTCACGTATTTATACAGACGCAACGCGAACGCCTGGATAATTTTTTTTCCATGATAAATTTTTTTTCTCCAGGAGAAATTCTGGAGAATTCCTTTTTTTTATCTACCACGATCCGGATGAACCTTTTGATAAAATTATAAGGCAAACAACGATAGAAAAATCATTTATTTGTCATCGCTGATCTAAGTCATCGATGACGTCACGAACGACGTTACGCAACTTCCGATTCTCCAAAATATTAATAATAAATAAAGAAGCAGAAGAAAAAAAAATCGTGACATAAAACGTTTCGATTCTCGTCTTAAAACGACATTTTAAAAATAAAAAAATTTTTTTTTTTTTTTATTACGCGTGTAAAAAACTTGTTTCGGGCAAAAGGAAAAAAAAAAAAAAAATTAAATGGGTGGGTAAAGAAAGTTGAAAAAAAAAAAGAGAGACGTGTGTGAGTGAGAGAGAGAGAGAGAAGGGAAAAAAATGGCCGACTAACGACCCACACGCACACACGTTTATTTATATATAATAAAAAAAATTAATTATTTGTCGGAAAAATAAAAAACAAAATAAAAAAAAATTAAATGATGAAATCTCGAAACGACGCTGTGTGACGTAATAAAAAATTTTTAACCGCCGCCACGGTAACGTTCAACTTTATTATTATTATTACTATTATTATTATTACTATTATTATTACTACTATTATTACTCCTTCCCGTGCCACCGAACGATGGCCGAACAAAAGAACAACGACTTTTAAAAAAAAATTCAGAACTCGAAACTCGAAATAAAATCGGACCGAAAAAACGAAAAGGAAAGAAAAAGAGAAATGGGAAAGAAAAGGAGACCGAGGAGGGTGGAAAAGGAAACGAAATAACAAAATTTCGTGGTGAAAAAGGTAAAAGGAGAGAGAGAGAGAGAGAGTGAAAGAGAAAGAGAGAGAGAAAGAGGAAACGGGGAAAAATTTTTTATTGTTACCATGCGATTATATTAATAACAGAAAATTAAGGGAAAAAGACGGCGGCAGTGGGAGCAATGGCGGCGGGACCAGGAGCAATGGCGGCCACATTTTATATTCTAGGCGGCGAATAATAAAAAAAAATTATTATTATTATTCATTTTTTTTTTTTAAACTTTTTCTTTGATAATTTTTCCTTTCTTTTCATTCTCTCCAAAAAAAAAAAAAAAAATGGCGGAAAATTTAACGTCGTAATGAACTCATAAATTATCATTATCATTTTTAAATTCACGAATCGTGACGAAAGGTTTGAAAAACCTTAAAAACGACGACCTAAAAAAAACCATTTAACTCGAGCGTAAACCGTGACGTAATAAAAAAATTACGTACAATTTATTATTTTATACCGAAAATGGAAAAAAAATTTAATTTCATGGAAAATTCTGGATAAAAATAACAACAACAACCACAACAAAAACAACGACAACCACAACAACCGTACGTAAATAACATAATTTTTTAAATATTTTATAAAAAATGAAAACTTGCTCTTCTTTCCTTCCCCTTTCGCCTCCCCTTCCTGCCCCCTCTCGTTTCCTCCAAAAAAAAAAAATATATATTTTGGAAGTTTATTATTATTATTATCAGCATCATCATTTCTCATTCGAAAAGAAAATTAAAATTTTTCCCTTTCTTTCTTTCTCGCATTAAACGCTGGAAAACCGACGTGAGACTTTTTCCAAAAAATTTTCCATTCAAAACATTTTTCTTTTTTTTTTTGTTTCCTTTTTCTTCTTTCTGTGCGTCTCATCGTTTCCTTTTCATTTTCATTTTTTTTTCTCCAGCAACTCTTTTCCTTTTTTACATCTTTTACATATCAAATAAAAAAAAAATTTTTTTTTTTGTCTTTTTATTTTCCGCAGTCAAACCAACCGTTAAAAAAAAAGAAAAAATTTCCCATTTTCCTCTCTCCCCTTACTACCCTTTCCTCTCCCTTCGCTTCTCCAGTTTACATTCGTGTTCGCTCAACGAGAAAAAGGTTCGTTAAGTAACAAAAAAATAAATAAAAAAAGAAAATCGTGAAAATTTTCCATTGAAAACAGAATTTTCTTTCCCCATTGCGTTTTGAAACGCAATTTTCATTACACGCTGGACAAATCGGCAAAATTATTATTTTAATTAATTTTTTTTCGCGGTTTTCCAATCGGAAAATCAGGATTTGTTTTTTCGCGTCGTCGACTTTTCCGTGAGTGAAACTTTCCCGGAAAAATGAAAAATTTCATTTCTCCAAAAAAAAAAAATTAAAGGAAAAAACTTACCTGGATTGTCATGCTTTTACTTCGTCCGGACCCGCCGTAAAAAATATTGCAATTGAAGAGCTTTGTAACCGGTTGTGATGATTTTGTCCAAATTGCTGGAAAAAAAACAAATAATGATAATAAAATCAATTGAAATTTCAATTCATCATCATCATCTCTTTATCAATTTTTTTTTTTTTTTTTGGAGTCCGCGCCATTCTCCAGTTAGAGTTAAAGTTAATTCGATGTAAAGATGATGATGATAATGATAATGATGGGTGCAATTACTGGAAATTAAGAAAATTATGTCCGGATCAAAAAGCAATGGAAATCAAATGCTGACTCTCTCTCTCTCTCTCCACATATTGAATTTTCCACAGAATGAAAACAAACTTTCCATAGAGTAATAAAACAAACGAATAAAAAAAAAAAATTTTTAAACTTTAAAAAGGGGAGTTGAAATTTACGAAAAAAAAAAAAAAATAATAATAATAATCCAGGTGAATTTTTTTTTTTTTTTTTTTTCAAAAATAATTAATAATAATATTAAAAGCTTCGACATTTTTTTTTAAAAATGTCGTCTGCTTTTTTTTTAAATGATAGGTTTTTAAAAAAAAAAAATTTCAAAACTATTATTACGTTCAGAAATAAGTAAAAATGACAAAAATTACGCAACACACACCTGCTCCCCCCTCCCCTCTGATACATTTAAAAACGCGGATTTTTTTTTTTATTCTTCTTCCACGTTTTAAAACGAAAATTTCACCTTTTCGTCATCCATTTTCCCTTCCCCCTTCAACCCCACTTAGAATTTGTACCGCAAAAAAGTTTCCATTAATTTTTATCAATATACGTCATCCCTCTTTTTTTTTTTTACCTTTTTTTCTTCTGCCACTTTTTTTTTTTTATTTCTAGGCCGACAAGAACATTAAAAATCAAAGAATCCACACCTGAATCTATAAAAAAAATTTTTTTTTTTTTTGTAAACAATAATTGCCAACTTTGTCCGTTACGAACGATAATAATAATAATATTAATAATAATAATAATAAAACCTCGCCTTTGGACAGCGAAAGTTATTCTTTTTTTGTCGTTATCTATCACTTTTATAATTACACACACGTGTGAGGTGTGATAATAATTACCCGTAATGAAAACTCATTGAAAACATTTTTTTTTGACGTGGTTCTAGGCAAAATCTATCACCACCGTAACGATTTTTCTCTCGGGCTCTCCTATTATTATTATTATTATTAATTTTTATTATTTTTTATTAATTTTAACGTCGGATTTATCGATGACTCGAAGGTTTTTTCCTCATTGCGTTCGTGCGTGCGTTCGTTCGCACGCGTAATTTTCGTAAACAAATCAAATTCGAAAAAAAAATTTTTCCAAAGGGTAAAATAATAACCAGTGATACCAACTCTCGTCGCCGATGGCAAAATAATAATAATTAAATTTTTTTAAAGGTGAACGAACACAACACACTTCGTTATTAATAAGTTTTTCGTCCTCGTTTTTCTTTTTTTTTTTTTAAATTAAAAATACCAAAATAAAAAAACAAGTAAAAAATTAAATTTTTCTCGTTTTTAATTGGCCGACATGTTTTTTCTTTCTTTCTTTCTTTTTTCGACAAAATAAAAAAAAAAAAAAAAAAAAAAACTTGACGACACGCACGTATGAAAATTTTTTCTTTTTTTTTTTCGATTTTTTTTTTTTTTCGTTTTGTGTTCGTTCCTCTCTGAAACGAATTCACTCGAGGTTATAACATATTCTGTCCCAAAACACGATTGCCCGATTTTATTTTCTCCACGTGACTTACACGTGAAATGTTTTTTCTTTTCCATACGATTTATATATCGGTGATAATTTTTTTTTTTTTTTGATAATACCATTTCGACAAATTCTCTTACGAAATACCGACGACTTGAGAACATTTTCAACAAAAAAAAAAATCAAACGTTTTGCCAAATTTTCCCTCCCCCCCAAAAAAACAATATTAATAATAATAATAATAATAATTTAGAAGCCATACAATACTTTTAAAAATTAACAGCGAAAACGCATTTACACGCACACACGCACACAGGAAATTCGCGTAAATAAATAAGAGGGCGTTAATGAAAAAAAAAAAACAAACAACCACAACAATAACAACCGAAGACATTATACACGAATTTTTTTTTAATTCCGCGTAAAAAATTCATAATAACGAAAATACAAACGGCGATTCGATTATTCTTTTTTTTGTTATTATTATTATTCATCAAAAATGGCAATTTTGTTTTTTTTTTTTCACTTCCGTTTTTGCCTTAAAATAAAAAAAGAAATTTTTTTTCTTCTCATTATTCGCTTTATGTGATAAATGCAATTATTATTGCGTTATTTAACGCCCATCATTTTGATTGCGATTAATCAAACTGTCCATTCACATATTTAAACGCCCAAAGGATGATAATTTTCATTTTTTTTTTTTCTTCTTTCTTTTAAAAGAGCCATAGAAATGATTCGTATAAACATCGACGACGACGACGACGACGCAATCGATGCATGCAGAATTTTGCAATTCAAATTCAAATTCTAAAGTCTCGAAGCAACAAAAAAAAAAAAAAAAAAAAATGAATTTGAATGAATACTCATTGTAAATATATATGAATATGACTCAGGGTGGCGCAAATTATAAAATTTTTTTAAATTACACTCGCTCCGAGGCATTTACTGAATCGAAAAAAATTTTTTTCTGTCCTTTTTTTCCTTATATCTCCCCTTTTCCCCCCACTCTCTCTCTCTCTCTCTCTCTTTCCAGCTCGTGTCAATTTTACGTGTTCTTTTATCAGTTAAATCAACAGACATAATAAATTTCGTGAAGATTTAAATATAAATATACACGCGCGCATACGCAATTATGTGAATTGAAAAGAGAGAGAGAGAGAGAGAGACAAACACATCACGGCCTAACCCAGTAATTGCGATGAAAAAAGATGGCGAGTTAAAATCCTTTGGCACGGCCGAAAATACATAAAAAAAAAAAAAGCTGCGAAGAATAAGAAAATGATATTGAACATCTCATCTCATCTCATCCTCTTCGAATTAAAAAAAAAAAAAATATTTCATGAAACAAATCATCACGTTTCCACCTTTTCAGGTACAATTATTCTTCTACGTGAACTGAATTGGTATCACTTTGAAACGCACATCGATTTGATTTTTTTTTTTTTTAATGATAACTTTTAATTTCGTGGGGAGAATTCGATCGAAACCGATTTTTTTTTTTTTACTTTTTCATCATCATCATCATCATCATTATCATCATCTCGGGGAGACCATCGAAAACAAAATTAATTCCTTCCTCGTCTTTTTTTTTTTTCATTTACGCACTTTTTTTTCTACGCAATGCGTGCAAAACGACGACGACGGTTTCGCAAAAAAAAAAATAACAAAGACGTCCTCAAACCTGATAACCTCGCGTTATCAGAAAAGTTTTGGAAAAAATCATCTACCTCCCTCAAAAAAAGAAAATTTGCTTTTTCCATCGTGATTTTATATCTCGCGACGCAAACAACAACAAAAGAATACCTGTACAAACAAACAAACAAACAAACAAAGACAAACCGATTCGAGTTTCCATCCGTCCGTCCGACAACCTTTTTTTTTTTTCCTCTCATCTTTTTAATAATTTCATTTTTTTTTTTTTTTATAATCCGATGAAAGAAAAAAAAAAAAAAAAAAAACAATTCAATAATATCGTAAAGGATAATAATCATGAATTTTCGTATTCGATTTAATTGGTAAAAGGTTGCTTCGAAAATTAAAAGCCAAAAAAAAAAAACCTGAAACCGGATTTCGAATAGTTCGGAGAACTGGACAAAAAAAAAAAAATTTTTTTTTTTGGTTTCTTTCATCTTTCAAACCGAATAATCGTGAAATGATAAAAAATGAGGAAATGGAGGAGAGAAAAGATAGAATTTTTTCTTTTCCTTATTTTACCCTCCCCTCCTCTCGCCCACCTCCTCCTTTTCCTCCCCCCCTTGAAAATCGTAACGTTTTCGACTCACCTCGTCGCATTTATTTCTTTCAAATGAGCGCTCCTTTCGTCTTCCGGCATTTCCGAAAGTTTGTGTTCGAAAACTCCAGAAAAAGGTATTATGCTCGCACCTGAATCATTTTTATCTACCCATTCCTTAATTTTCAACAACCTGAAATACGTACATGAATAATTATCGCCATTTTTATTTTATTTTACAAAGCGGAAAAAAATTAATTTTTCAATTTCTTATCCTCACCATTTATTTTTCTTCCTAATGTAATCCTTTTCCGAAAGGTTCACGAGATATATGACAGGTTTCGTCGTTAAAAATAAATGTTTGTTTAATATTTCGATCTGAAACAAACGAAACAAATAAAATAATAATAGTAATAATGATAAAATTTATTTAAATTTTTTTACAAATTCACAATGGGAAATTTATTTAAATTTTTTATTTTTCGTTTCCGGTTATCGTCGCGTTATCTATACAAATCAAAATTAAATCCCTAATCTCTACCTAAATATTATTTAAACGTACGAATTTTTTTTCATTTTTTTTTTTTTTAAAGTCGACCCGATAAAAAATTTCTCAAAGTTTTTCTTATTTTTTCCCATATTAATCGTTGAAAAAAAAAAAATCGTGAAAAAATGATTCGATATATCGAGAAAGAGGAAGGGGGAAAAAATCGATTTATCGAATTTTTACGTATTTACAAACACACGAAAAAATAATAACAATAATAATCTATTAACGTAGAATATTTCAAATAATGATAACAAGATAAACAATTTAACTTTATATTTATTATGGTAAAAAATAAATAAATAAATCAAACCTCGTGGAAAAGAGAGAAAAAAAAAATAATAGTAATAATAATAATAATAATAAATAAAGGATTCTATTAAATAAAATAAAATTTCGTGGGTGGCGACGGGAGAGTGCGAAAGATCACACGATGACCTATAACGATGACAATAACAACAACAACAAGAAGAAGAAAAAAAAAAAAAAATTAAATTTTTGCCCTCGTAAGGTCGATACCTATACAGGTACGATACGCAGTATGAACCGGAGACTGTGTGATAATAAATGTGATCGTGATTCGACAGTTTTCGTTATTTAAAATACTTTTTTCCTTTTTTTTTTTTTTATTTCTTTTGAATTGTCGAATTGTTCAAAAATTGATTTCATGACTTTTTCATTCATCACGACGATTAACAAACGAAAAAACGCACTTGGGGGGGTAGGGGAGGGGGGAAATGGCACAAAATTATTTCCTTCCATTTTATTAATAAACTTTTGTTTTTTTTGTTGTTGTTGTTTTGTGATAATTCGATTTGGACCACCCGTGATTGATAATTGTCGTCGTCGTCGTCGTCACTCATCAATTTTCCTTTTTTAAAAGTGAAAATTAAAATCAATAAATATAATCGCGATTCATTGTTTTTTTTTTTTTTTCTTTTCCCAGCCTCCGCAAAGTTTTACTTAAGACGTTGGCGTTTAATAATAAATACGCATGGAACGCACTCACGCACTCACGCATGCAAATATTCTCACTTTTTCTTTTTCTTTTTTTTTTTTTTAAACGTCGTGTGAATTTATTTTAATAACCTTGTTTACAATCCTCACCTCACCTTTCACGACGATAATAATTGGTTAAATTCAATGACGTCGTAAATAAAGTCGCGTACATATATTTAAATGCAACGAAAATACTCTCAGATATTATTATTATTATTATCATTACTAATTTTTTACAATCGAGCAAAAAAATGCAACGATAATAATAATAAAAAAAAAAAATTATTGTTTTTTTTAGTGGATTTAAACTTACGTCGTTTGCATTCCATTCGCCGAATCTTAAATGTTTTTTCTCGTCGACCAACATTGTTTTTATTCTGCATAAAATATCCTGAAATATGAGAAAAGAAAAATTTTAAAAAGTTCTAGAAGGTACGAAAAAAGGAAAAAAATTTTTTTTTTTTTTGTTTCCTTTGAAATCAATTAATAATAATAATATTAATCGACAATGGAAAAATTCACGGCAGGGAGACTTAAGTGACTCAGCGACCGTAAAGAGCGCGAAAGAAAAAAAAATTTTCACACTTGGAGGTCTCCTTTACGATCCACGGGGGGCGGGGGCGGGGGATTGTTGTTGTTGTTGTTGTTACCCGGTTTCAGTGACGATTTTTTTTTTTTTTATTATTCTTAATAAGACAAGACTTAAATGTAATTCAATTATTTAGATGAAAGATAAAAAGATTACAATAACAACAACAACAACACAAAATGAAGTTTCAAAGCGTGAATGATCATCATATTTCCATCATCGTGTCTCGCGTTTGTCTTGACAGACACAAAACCACCATTTAAAAAAAATAACAATTACATGATGACGACGATGACGATGACGATGATGATGATTGTTTATTAGACACAATCGAGACCCCCACTAAGTAACTCAAAGGAACGTAACGTGTGACAGTAATTATTTACCTGATACATGACTGGAATAAAATCAATTTTTATTTATATTCGAATCAGACGACGACAAACAAAAAAAAAAAACGAAACCGAATCGCATCGGATTCTATTTAAATTTCGAAACGAAAAGAGACAACGTTTTTTCTTCCACGTTTCTTTTTTCGTTCTATTTAATAACGCGATACTTAATTAACATTATAATAATTAAACTCACGTATTCGGGTTTTAATTTTTTATCGCCTCCCCTCAAAACGGTCCTTTCTAGTTTTTCCAACTGTTGATTTAAATATTCTTCATCTTTCAATCTCAATTCTTCTGCTATGATTTCGAGATCTCTCACTGGATTGACTTCTCCCTCGACGTGCGTAACATCTTCATCTTCGAAAGCTCCTTAAATGAAAAACAATCATGATAATAATGATGATAATATAATCTTTTCATTGCATTTTCATTCTCTCTCAAATTTTAATCGTTTTAGAATTAAAGTTTCGCAAAAAAAAAAAAAAAAAAAAACTCGCAAAGTAGAACGTTTTGCAACTTTCTAATTTTTCACGCGGTCTTTAATTATAAATTCTCAGTCTAAGAGCGAAGGTTTAATCGTTAGGCGGAATTACAATAATAATAATAATGATACTTTTTTTTTTTTGAATTTAAATGTCGTACTTGAAATTTTCCAACTCCGAAAAAGGTAAAAAGGTAAAAAAAAAAAAAAAAAAAAAAAAATTAATTAATATTCAATCAGAAGAAAAAAAAAAAAACTCACTTAGTAAGTGAAAAATTGCGTCGCAAGCTTTTATATGTGATAAAAATGCATTGCCTAATCCTTGTCCTTCTGCCGCACCTTTAACCAATCCAGCAATGTCGACGACGTTTAAAAATGCTGGAACCTTGCTGGAAAATTATTAAAAAAAAAACTAAATTAACATTTTTATAATGAATTCGTTTCGTACAACAACCCTTAAGGGAATTTGTTTTTCGTTTACACATTTCCTAACACATTTAAAATTTTAAAAAAAATTATTATTATTATTAATTTCATTAACGAATAATTATCATTATTATTATTAACGAAAAAAAAAAAACGCGAACCGGAAGCAAACGAATCAAATATATATATATATAAAACGATCAATTAAATAAATTAAAATGGCAAAAGGAAACGTGTAACGAAAAGAAAAAACTTATTATTATTATTATTATTATTAAGCAGATGGTTTCGACTGCAATGACACAAACCTTAAGAATAAAAATATAATAATAATAATAATAAATAAATATTTTCGAAAATAAAAAAAAAATTAATTAGATCTATTAAATAATTAAGGATCCGAAAAAAAAAAACTAATAATATATATATTTAAAGAAAAGGAAATTAATTATCAGTGAGCCAACTTTACAGACAAAAAAAAAAAATTTTTTTTTTTTCTAAACAAAAACAAGAGAATAATAATGATATAAAATTGAGACAATTGTTTTTTAAAAAAAAAAAAAAAATGTGGATTTTGGAACGGCGCCTCCAAAGATTATATAAATATCATTTTCATCTCTGGTTAAAGTTATCGAAAAGAGACAAAAAAAACTCTCCACCCTCTAATTAAATTTTTTTTTTTTTTTAAAGGGGGTTGTTGTTGTTATCAAATAATAATATACATTCGAAGAGTTAAAAAAAAAAATAATAATAATAATGATGATGATGATAATTGATAATGATGGAAGTAAAAAAAAAAAAAAATAAAAAAATAAAAAAATAAAGGATTCTCGGCGTACTTTTTTTTTCGTTTTTTTTTTTTTTTTTTTTATTAATACTAATAATAATAATACTATTTTACTACGAGTCGTGGCAGCAACAGATGCAAGGATTTCTTTTTCAATTGTACGCTTTCCGGAATTTACAAAAAAAAAAAAAAAAAATTAAATTAGTAATTATTATAATTAAAAGCGACGACAGAAGTTTTTTTTTTTTTTTTTGGGGTCTTTTCATCCGATCAGGAAGTTGTTGTTGTTATATTTATTATTATTATTAATAAATAAATAATGCAAACGTGATGGAAAAAAAAAATAATAATAATAGTGAATGTACGAGGTATAATACGCACCTGATCACATTCACATTAAGGTAACAATAACAATAATAATAATAATAGTAAAATGAACATTCGAGTGACGTTTTGCAAAAATAGAGATTTACAGTCACGATTATTTAATTTTTTTTTCGGTAAAAATCCCCTGCATCCAATTTTCATCTTAAAAAAAAACAGAAACTTTATAAAATTTTGCAATTTAATGTAAATTCGTCTGCTGCCACTTCTTTTCTTTCAACTTTTACCTTCGATTAGAGATTAAATTAGGTGGACGACGTTACAAAATAAATTGTTAATGTCAAAAGTTTCCATTTAATAATTTAAATTAAACTGTCGTGGATGTAGAAAAACAAAAGAGAGAGAGAGAGAGAGAGAGAAAACTACTTCGTGGAACAAAAATGAAAATAACAATAATAATAATAATAATATTAAAAAACAAATTCGAGTGATGATGAAAATGACCGACCGACCGACGAACCATTCGTCGTTTTTTTTCTTTTTTTTTCGGACATTTAAATTTATTCGTTCCAGGCTAATCCCTAATTTAAAAAAAAAAAAAAAAAAAAGATTTTAAACAGGTACGGCGTTTAAGGAAAAACCTTAAAAAAAAAAAAGGGTAAATTATTATTATTATTATTTTTTTTCTTTTTTGTGAATCTTGAATAATTTAAAAAAAATTATTTGAAAATAGTTATTTGTTTGTAAATTTACATTATTAACTTTTTTATTTAATAGTTTATGTCCTCAAGTGGGGTTTAATAATTTGTTCTGCCTTTTAATCAGGTTCCAACCATTGACCGTTGGTTACAAGAAAACAATTTTCTTATTACTTTTAACGTTTTTTTTTTTTTTAAATTTTCATGCACGACATTATATTAAGGATATTATAATCATTTTCAAATATGTTCAACCGAAAAATAGGTCGAACGTTATAATAATAATAATAATAAAACTACAAAAATATAAATTTTACTTTTTTTAAATAATTATTATCGTTTCGTATTTTCAAAAAAAAAAAAAAAAAAACCGAAAATAATAATAATAACCGAAAAACACACCCGACGATTTTTGTGTGAAGGAAGAGAGAGAGAGAGAAAGGGGGGGGGGGAAAGAAAATTTAAATATAAAAAAAAAATAATTTGGTTCATCGATAAATACATGTTTTTTATCTCTCTTAATGGTGTCTTATCAAAAATGTCTGCCCGATTAAACCTTTCAAAAATTTAAAAATGAATTTAAAAATGCTAGCAACAACGAACAAACTTACCTTAGAGGTTTGAAGTAATCGCATAAGAAATCAAATCTTTCATCGGGAACGGGTACCCTACGTGCAAAAGAAAGAAAAAATTAAAAATTTATTTGACAATTTCGAGAATTTTCTTTCGATTCTCGAAAGTTTTTTCTTTTTTTTTTTTTTTTTTGTCCGATCGATGAGTAAAACTCTTTTGATAAATAATAAAATTATACTTATTTTCATTAGGATCGATGGTGCAAAAGGGAAAATTTTCAGCTGCTGCCGAACTTTTCGTTAAAACGTTGAAAAACGTTGATTTTCCAACGTTGGGTATTCCTACGATTCCGACTTTAAGATTCGTACCAACTCTACCTATCAATGGTTTTTTTTCAGGTTCTTCAGTCTTCTTCGGCGGCATTATTCTTACCTAAAATAAAAAAAAAATAATAAAAATCAAATTTAAAATTTTTCCCTTTTACTTTTTGTAAAATGGCGTTAAATTTTGGCAGGCATTAAAATAATTTTGATTACGACCGACGTTTGCCCCCCCCTTCCCCTCCCTCCCCCATCGATTCTTCCGCAAAATCAATGAGTATTAATGAGCTTGAGGCCGAATGATTTTCCAAAAAAAAAAAAAATTAAAAAACCATCCGCAATTTTTAAAAAACCTCGAGCCATTATTGGTAACAATAAATTGAAAAAATAAGGAAAAATGTCCTGAAGGAAAATTAAAAAAAGCTTATCCGAGTAAAAGACTCGATACCATCACAAAAAAATTTTTTTAAAGAAAAAAAAAAACCCGAAGTGATGAAGAGGCAAGTGAAAAAAAAAAATATAAAAAAATAAAAATTAAGTGTTACAAAGGAGTAGTTCTTAAAAAAAAAAAGGAATTTAATAACAATAATAATAATAATAATATAAAAATAATGATGGTCAATGAAATTATATACGAAGAAAAATGAAAGAAGGAATGGATGAAAAAAAAAAAAACTAAAAATTATTATTAAGAGGTCCAGGTTTTTAATAAGAAAGCATTCACATCCTTCCACGCTGCAATTTACAAAAAATTAAAAATATTCAAAATTTCCATAACCACAAATCAATATAATCAAACGAGATCAATTGCATTTAACAATAGCAGCAACACAAAAACGAAAGAAAAAAAAAAAGAAAATTGTTTTTATGCCAGAAGGAAAATTAAAAATTCAATGTAAGAATATAAGAGATATGTCTAACATCTAATTTCCTTTATCGTAGAAGACAGTTATTTGACGTTTTGGGCGTGGTATTCCAGAAGAGCTCCCAGGCTAGGTGCTTCCTGAGTATGATGGACTCACTCTATTAGTTTTAAATAAAATGGGCGAGGATATGTGAATTAAAAATTACACAATAAATGGTTTTACTTTTATAAAAGGGTTGATTGTATTTCGTTTAAAAAAAAAAAATCATCATCTCGCAAAAAATGTTGCGTTCCAGACGTTCAACAACCCGACAACAATTTTCCAAAACAACCCCTTAGGTTGTTCATTTTTTTTTTCTGCGAATTTATCATCATCATCATCATTTTCATCATCGTATTCATCATCGTATTCATTTTAAATCAAACTGATTCATTTAATTTGCTATATTTTTTTTTTATTTTTTAAATTTACTTAAAGTGATTTTCACAGGTACGTTCAACGAATTTTTTTTTTTTAAACAAAACGAACGTTCGATTTCATTATTTTATTACTTTTTTCTTCCTCTTAGACTTATTTCAAAAGTGTTAATTAAATTTATCAAAATCGTGATTTTTTTTTCAACCACGTTTCGTTTTTTGATTTTTATCATAAAATTAAAGATACCGATGAATAAAATCAAAAACGAATTCTTACAGTTGCTCATCAATTATTGTTCAGAAAAAAAAAAAAAAATAATAATAATAATAAGAATCAGTTCAAAAGCGAAAGAAGAAAGAGTCAAAAAAAAAAAAAAATTCGAATTTTTAAATTGCACGTTTTCGATACAAAAAAAAAAAAATTTCAAATTATTAGGGATTAGACATGTTTTTCTTCTCGAATTTTTTCAAATATGGCGCGAAGAAAATAAAGTGATGAAAATGAAGACAATAAAAACAACGAAATCGTTATGCAAATAAAGCAGCCGATACCCGATGATAATAAAAAAAAAACTTAATAATATAAATCAAAAAGTTAAATATAATATATATACAATCGAAGTGCTCCGTTTTAAATTTTTTAACAACCCGGTTGTTATTTAATATAAACGCCATTAAACCCATTTCCCTCCCCTCCCCTCCCTCCTTTTATCATCCATTTAAATTTCGAATTTAAAAAATTCTATTTTTTCCGACATCGTAATTATAAAATTAAAAAAAAAAAAAATAAATACGCCAGGAAAAACGTGGGAAGTTCAATAATAAAAATCAAAAACAATTCTTTTAGAAAACAATAATAATAATAATAATAATAATAATAATCGAAATCGAAACGAAAAAGTTTCGACGTTGAATTCCTAAAAACAAAAAAAAAAAACATAAAACAAAGCAACGATTTTTAAATTAAGTTAAAACGGGGGGGAAAAAAAAAACAAAATGGCCGTCATTAAAAAATGGCGGATTTATTATTAAAACCGTTGCGTGATTATTTAATAAAATTTTTAAGTTTTTTTTTTCCTTTCCCCCCTTCCCCCTCCCCCTCCCTT